AAGCATATTTTAAATTGTTTTTGAGATGGTGGCAAGGTTTAAATTGATTTTATTAGCACCGAGCATGATTGGTTTGAAATGGAATTATTATCATTTTCATTGAGTAGAGCATGCCTACTTGAAGTTTGCTTAACTGCCTTGATGATCTGAAAATTTTGTAAATTATGATTTTCTTGTTAAATCCATGCCCACATGGAATTTTTTCAGTTTATTCTTGAAATTTGAAATTAATTGTGAATTACGGATTTTTCCTGTAATGGTTTTGTCTCTAATATAGTCATGATTACTGATTACTGACGCTTGCTAGTGAGAGTTTGCAAACACTAACACATGTCAACATGTATACCAATAGGACCGGTTCATTCTGTAATCCTACCAATGGGATAATACATTGGTTATTACTGAAACTTACGCCTGCCAGTGGGAGTTGTTAAACACTGGCCATGACTTATAGATGAGACTACTACTAAATCTTATTTTGCATTAACGGTTTATCATTGAACGCTTTGTTATTGACTTATAGATGGACTACTACTAAATCTTATTATGCATTAACGGTTTATCATTGAATGTTTTTTTATGTTAAATTGTTTATCAGGCAAGCTTAAATTTTAATGTTTATTAAGCAAGCTTAAATTTTACTCACGAGCTATCCATATTTTTATTTACTGAGATACCTTATCTCATAATTTTCCTTGTTCATCATTTCAGGAAGTGAGACCCGAGGCACGGTTAACCAAGCGGAGTGACGAGCTAGAAGGTTAGTCAGTATTTTGGACTTAGATCCTTTTGGACTTAGGCCATTAGCCACACATGCTTGACATAGATGTGAAATGATAAATCATTTTTTTGTATACTGAGTTTTCCTTGGTTATAGCCATGACTGTCTTATAAACTATTGTACATCTTGACTAGTAAAATTTTGGTAATGGAAAGCTAGATATTAACTGAGTTTTGATTTAAGTTATGTAAATTGGTAATTATGAAGACCGCAAGTTACGAGTCTTGAGCATTTGTGGGACTCGTTCATGAGTGCACGGCGTCTGTTTCACTTCTAGTTTTGGAGTGTGACACTCTCATGTGGAGAAAACTTCTTGAGAACATAGTAATAGAATGGGCAAAATAACATATAAATGAGAGAAATAATAAGACACTATGGATGGTGTAAGGACATCATTATATATCAAGACTTGCTTAATCCACATTATAAAATTCTTTGTGGATTTTATATGTTTATTACTTTTCATTTTTTTCTTACATATGAACTACCCTATTTATAAAATAAGAAAATACCTAATAAAAAGAAATATTCCATAAAAACATAAAAAATTATAATTAATTGAAAATCTCTTAATCATTACATTATCAATTTCAAATTTTGAAAGAGGGCAAGTATTCCTATTCTATGACAATGGATGTGGGGAAAGTGCTCACCTTGGGACTCAAACTTAGTTCCCAAGGGTAACCCACCCACTAGGGATATTTATATCCAATGCAATCAGATTAGTCTAAATAAAACTAACCCAATCCAATAAAAAATAAAATCAATCCAATATAAAATTTGGTTGGTTTAAATTATAAAATTTAAAACCGATGTAATTGGTTTGGTTTGTTATTTTACTATCAAATCGTTTGAATTGCCTGATTACAAAATAAAATTTGATTATAAGATAACTTAATTAAATAATATAATTATATTTTTTAATATTTTAAAAAAAATTCTTATTTTATAAGATAATAACTCTATTAACTTAATTAAAAAATAAAAATAGAACATTTTCATAATTCCTAATTTAATTTTCCATCTTAATTATACACTCTAACTCTAATTCAAAATTTCTAATTCACTTGTAATTCTATCCTTTAGAACTGATCTGCAATTCTACTCTTAGAACCTTAAATTTCTAATTTATTCCTAAATGATATTCTGAATTTTTTAGCTAAGTTTTAAAGAAGTATCATTTTAGAAATCTTAAAATTATATAGTAAAACTAGTCTTGCTATTTTACTATTTTTAAATGTTTGGTTGAGAAGTTTTAAATCTTAATTGTAAATGTTTTTAATCAATTCTAATGATATTCATGTTAAATTTTATTTGCTTTTATTAGGGTTTGGAAGATGGGACTGAACCATTTGGTGCATTAAGTAAAAAAAAAAAATAGTTTGAATCTTTAAAAATTACTTGCACCGTGTTTGAAACTTAGAGTCATTTTTTATTGTTCTCAGTGCGTCTAGCAATATAGTCAAGAAGAATTTTCAGGTCTTTTCAATCTTTATAATTGTAAAAGATTATAAGAACTTGTTTATAATTTATGCCTTTTATTATGTTTATATTGATTTGGATGTTAATATATTTTATAGTTTTATTTTCTACTTGATGTTAAAATTTTTTACATTATCTCATACATTTAATAATATTAAAAACTAAGATAAAAAAATAATATTAAAAACTGATTAATCTGACCAAGCCACATCAATTCAATTTAAGTTGGATTAATTCGATTATCATATATAGTGGATTGAATTGATTTAAAAAATATACTAATCAATTAAATTAAATTAATTTAAAAAATATTAAAATCTAAACTAAACCAGACCACGGATACCCTAACCACCCACTAAGGCATTTGGTCATTTCAAGTTGCTTTGACTGTGCGGGTTAATTAGTTAGCGAATTATTCCTTATGGTTGGTCAATCCTTTTAATAATGTGATTTTTCTTCATTTTATAATTAGATCAATTATTAGGTGGTTTGATTATTTTTTATTTATTTTAGAAAGATAATTGACTATTTTTTTATATATAAAATATATATTTTTTTTATGAACTATCAAAAACTCAAGCAAATTAGTACTCAATAACTTTAAAATTTTGATTTTGAATCAAAGTCAAGGGCTTATGTTGAAACCTCTTGTGTAAAAATATCTAATGTAGTGTGAAGAATCTAATACATATGGTGCTGAAACCTCTCCGTAATACCCCAAAAATTTCTAGAACAATTAAGTGTGAACTAGGGACCTAATTGTGAGAAAATAATATTTTTGAGCCTAACCATAAAATTTTCAAATTTGAGGGACTTAAAAGGGAAAAAAATTAGGATAAGGATGGCTGATTTTTTTCCTTCTTTCTTTCTTCCTCAGCCACGCGATTCAGCTCTTCTTCTTTTCCCCTACAGCAGAACAAAAGGCCAAGCCACCGACACACCCACCCTCTTGAGAAACGATAAGAAAGCTTGATTTTTTCCTTCTTTTCTTGTTCAAGAACAAGATTTAGAACCTTGAAATATCTCCCCTGCAGAAAAATTTTCAGATCTGCTCTGCTTTTTCCTCTCTGTCCGTTGCTCTACTATGTGGGTGTGATTTTTTTTCAGGTTTTGGTAAGGGAAACAGCCACTAATTCCTCTTTTCTCCCTTGATTTGACTTGGGTTTACTCTAATTTCTTTTGGTTTCTCCCAATTTCTAGTAGATCCCCTAAATTCTCCTTCCATTCCCGTCGGCTCCCCTAACCCGCCAGCTCCGGTTTGCTTGCTAGATTTTTTGGTATGTGACAGCTCCATCTAAGTCCAAATTTACCCATTAATTGCTGAAATTATCCATTTATTTGCTGCCCCTGTGCTGTCCGAATTTTGCTGAAATAGGGGATGAATTCCGGTAGCAATTAGAACAAAAGTAAGCTTAATTCATGTAGAATTTATGTGATTGGGTATTAATGAGCTGCTGTGAGGTTTTGGAGAAAAATCCCATGAAATTAGCTGTTGTTTGCCAAGGCCGGTTCCTCCATGTTGTCTGTGAAATTGGAGAATTAAGTATGTGTGTTTATGCATATATATATAAATGCCCAATCTGATTTTTGTGCTCAAATTTCGGATAGAAGAAAAATAAGAATAAATAAATAAATAAAGAAATAAGATTTCTCTATAGGATTAATGGTCAGCAACAATAGGGAGGTTTAAATGTTTAGTTTATATTGAGAATAAAATTGAGATGTCCAGTTATATGGTTATTAATTCTGGAATATTTTGGTTAGGTTCTTGATTGTTCTATCACCCTAGCACTTGGAGTGAATTTTCTGTGTTATGTGATTGAGGTAAGTAAATTATGGTAATGCCCTTCAATTTCAAAGTAAAAGCATATTTTAAATTGTTTTTGAGATGGTGGCAAGGTTTAAATTGATTTTATTAGCATCGAGCATGATTGGTTTGAAATGGAATTATTATCACTTTCATTGAGTAGAGCATGCCTACTTGGAGTTTGCTTAACTACCCTGATGTTTTGAAAATTTTTGTAAATTATGATTTTCTTGTTAAATCCATGTCCACATGGAATTTTTTCGATTTATTCTTGAAATTTGAGATTGATTTTGAATTATAGATTTTTCATGTAAATCCTGCATGGTTTTGTCTCTAATATAGTCATGATTACTGATTACTGACGCCCGCTAGTGGGAGTTTGCAAATATTAGCACATGTCGAGATGTATACCGATAGGACCGGTTCATTCTGCAATCTTGCCAATGGGATAATACATTGGTTATTACTGAAACTAACGTTTGCTAGTGGGAGTTGTTAAACACTGGCCATGACTTATAAATGAGACTACTACTTAATCTTATTCTGCATTAACAGTTTATCGTTGAACGCTTTGTTATTGACTTATAGATGAGACTACTACTGAATCTTATTCTGCATTAATGGTTTATCATTGAATGCTTTGTTATTGACTTATAGATGAGACTACTACTGAATCTTATTCTACATTAACGGTTTATCATTGAACGTTTTGTTATGTTAAATTGTTTATCAGGCATGCTTAAATTTTACTCACGGGCTATCCATATTTTTTCTTATTGAGATACCTTATCTCATAGTTTTCTTCGTCCACCATTTTAGGAAGTGAGACCCGAGGCACAATTAACCAGGGGGAGTGACAAGCTAGAAAGCTAGCTAGTATTTTGGACTTAGATCCTTTTGGACTTAGGCCATTAGCCACAGATGTTTGACATAGATGTGAAATGATAAATCATTTTTTTGTATACTGAGTTTCCCTTGGTTATAGCCATGACTGTCTTATAAACTGTTGTAAAGCTTGACTAGTAAAATTTGGGTAATGGAAAACTAGATATTAACCGAGTTTTGATTTAAGTTATGTAAATTGGTAATTATGAACACAGTAGGTTACGAGCCTTGTGCATTTGTGGGACTCGTTCACGAGTGCATGGCGTCTATTTCGCTTCTGGTTTTAGGGCGTGACAGATTTTGTGGTATCAGAGCCTAGGTTAAAATTAATTACCTAGGATTTGTTTAGAACTTGGCTAGCCAATGGATTATAGGAACATGGTGAGGCATGAGAGTGGGGTTGATTAAGCGCACTTGTTTGATTCCTTCTTTAATATGTGTTGGATTTTAATTATTAGGTTTTGGTCGAGGAAGTGAAAACTTGCCGGGAAATTCTAATTTGGGGCACTTGATTAATAGTCTATAAACCTTCTATGTGGTTATAGATGGCTCCAAAACGGCGTGGGTGCTCGAGGGGTGGCCATAAGGATCAGGGCACTTCTTTAATCCCAGCTACTAGCCCCTTTGCCCAAGCTACTCCTCAAGAGGGAGGGATGAGTAACCCTCAAATGGCCACTTTTGTTCAAGAACTTATGACGGAGATGAGACGCCAAGCATCCTCTACCACAAGTGTTCCACCTCCATCCCCAGTGGTTTCCACTCCTACGGCCCCTGCTCCTATTTCTCTTGCTCCTATATCTTTTGCTCCTGCTGTGCCTAGTTGAAAGGTCTATATCGAATTCCAGAAGGTGGTGACCAAGAAATTTAATGGTACTGCGGGTTTTGAGTAGGTGGGGTCATGGATTACTGAGATTGTAATACCCCCAAAATTTTCAAGAACATAAAGTTGAGTTAGGGACTTAATGGTGAGGAAACGTTATTAATGGACCTAAGAGTCAAATTTTCAAACTTTAAAGGGGTCAAAAGGTTTTTTATGGATAAGGCCGGCTGACTCTTTTCTTTTTTTCCTTTTTTTTTTTTTTTCTTTCTTTCTTTCTTCCCCCAGCCATTTCCGCGTGTCTGCTCTGTTTCTTCTCTCTGCAGCCGGACAAACCAGCCAAGCTCGACCACACCCACTTGGAAAAAAAAAAAAAAAATCGGTAAGGAAGCTGATTTTGCCTTTCTTTTTTGATTCAAGAACCAGATTTGAGCTTGGAAATCTTCTCCCCTTGCAGAAATTTTCCAGATCTGCTGCCTCTCCCCCCTCTGCCGCCGGCTGTTGCTGGGTATAAGCTCCAGTTTTCCTGGTAAAAATCAGCCATAAATTCCTTTTTTTTCATCATTGATGTGTGTGGGTTCACCCTAATCTTCATTTCTTCAATTGCTAGTGGTTCCGTGACTCCCCTGCAATTTTCCAGCCGGCTCCTCCCATACCGCCAGCTCCAGCCTTGCTTGCTAAGGATTTTTGGTAGGTTAGCTCCTCTAATCTCCGAAAAATTGGTTGATTAAGTGCTGATTTGTGAGTTTAAGTGATTGTATGAATTGGTGGGATGTCCGAAAATCTGCTGGGAATAGGGGATTGATTTCCGGTAGCCTTGCAATGGGTTTTAAGTTTAATTATGTAGGAAATCCTCTAATTTGGCTGCTGTGATGATGTATGGAAGAAAAGAGAAAAATCCCGTGACTTGCCATTTTTGTCAAAAACCGATTCTCCCAATTCCTGTCCATGAGTTTGAAAGATTGTGTCTGTGTAATTACGTAATTGTATATACATATATATATATAAATACTCAATCCCGGTGAATGCTCAATTTTCGGATAGAAAAATAAAAATAAAAATAAATAAGGAAATAAAATTTCTTTATAGATATTAATTCGGAAATATTGTGATTAGGTCCTTGATCGTCCTGTGACCTTAGCACTTGGGTTAGGCCTTCTGTTCTGTGCGATTAAGGTAAGTAAATTTATGGTAATGCCCGTACAATTTTTAAAAGAATGTTTTTGATTTGTTTTTGAAGTGGTGGCGGGACTAAACCCGTTTTACACAAGTATGATCGATTGAAATGAAATTTTTATGCTTTTCATTAAATTGAGCATGCTTACTTGAAATTTAATTGATTGTCCTGATGATTTGAAAGTGATTGTTGAATTATGATTTTCTGTTAACTTCAACATGTTTTGTCTCTGATGTAGTCATGTTATTAGTGACCCTGCTAGTGGGGATTATATGCTAGCACAGGTCGACATGTTAGTGATAGAACTGGTTCGTTCGAGTGACCCTACTAGTGGGGATTATACACTAGTAAATAGTGCGCCTGCTAGTGGGTGGTTTATAACACTAGCCGTGATCTATAGAGGAGATGTCTATTTTGTTCTCGTACTGTATCCGTTTTTGTAATTACACTTGTTGGCATGTTATGAGTTTAATAATGGGCACTCCATATTTTACTTACTGAGTTTATTTTATAGTTTTTCCTTGTCCACCATTTCAGGTAGTGAAACCCGACGTAGGGGGAGCCCAGGAGAGTGACGAGCTAGACAGCTAGGCACTTTTGGACTTAGATTTTTGTAGCTAGGCCGTTAGTCACCATGCTTGACTTAGAAATTTTTGTGTACAGAACTTCCTTAGTTCTAGTCATGATCGTATTTAGGAAATGATAAATTTGTACATCTTGACTGGTAAATATTTGGTAAATAAAAAGGTTTAGATCTGAATTGTCTGAATTACTAAGTAAGAACTCAGTAGATTCCGAGCCTTGTGCATTTATGGGCCTCGCTCATGAGTGCGTGGTGTCTGTCTCACTCCGAGATTTGGGGCGTGACAGAGGTGGAGAGGGGATTCCGCATACTAAAAATTTTTTATGACCTTAAGGTTGATATGGGCAGTTATATGCTTACGGGTGAAGCATTGACTTGGTGGGAGAGTTACTTGAAGCTACACCAAGGAGAGCCTGAATTGAGCACCTGGGATGGTTTTAAAAAGGTGTTCATGCGATAATACATACCTGACAGCAAAAGGCGGGAGCTGCAAAGGGAATTTGTAAATCTTAAACAAGGGTCACGTACTGTTGAGCGGTACAAGGAGTTTGACCGCTATTTGACTTTTGTGGGTAGTCAAGTTGGGGATAAGCAAGCCAAAACTGATAGATTTTTATGGGGCTTGAATCCTAACATTTATCTAGCGGTGAATCAATTCAAACCTGCCATTTATACAGAGGCGGTGGACAGAGCCATAGATCAGGAGAAGGTTATGGACAGAGTCAAGACACCAGATTTGCAAAAAGTGGGGTCATCCCTTGGGAAGAGAAAATTTGATGGGAGCCGTAGACGCTTTATCTCTGCACCGCCTAAGTTTGATACTGGCAAGGGTTCTAAAGAGCTAAGGGTTGCCAAGACTGTGGGTCAAGCATCAATAGCCCAGCATACTCATCTTGCTCCACCTATTTGCCTCACTTGTGGAAGAGTTGGGCACACTCGTGACCAATGTCACATTAATACAGGGCTTGCTTTAGATGTGGCAAGCAAGGACATCGGGTTGCTAATTGCCAGCAGTTGGACCCCAGAGCTCAGAGTACTCAATCTACATCTCAACGGGGTTCTACTAATCAGGGGGCACAGAAACAGAATGTCGGGGTTAGGACAAGAGCCCAGTAGGCGAAAGTGCACGTGATGACTCACAAGGAAGCTATGGCTACCGACATAATCACAGGTACTTTACCTGTCAATTCTAATTATGCACATGTTTTATTTGATTCAAGTGCATCACACTCTTTTATAGCTCGATCTTATGCTTCGAAACGAGTCTTACCTATTGATACCTCCGATTTTGAACTGCATGTGAACACCCCTTTAGAAGGGATGATGACTACTAGAGATGTATGTAGGACTATAGATATTTATATTGATGGTAGACAATTGAGTGCTAGCCTATTTGTTTTGGATATCTTTGATTTTGACATCGTTTTGGGGATGAATTGGCTGTCAAAATATTTTGCCTCTGTAGACTGCAACCGTAAACGGGTGATTTTTAATAGGATAAAGCTACGTTTACCCTCCTCCATTACACCCTCCATTACACACACTCATCTCCGTTACTTTGTCGTTAACGCCCAAACACACCCAACCCTTTCTTTCTCTTTCTCCTTTCCTATCTTGGTAGTTCCAATCGATTCGTGGACATCTCCGATCATTCTCCTATTTTCTCAAATGGTCCACCGCTGCCATGATGCTTTCCATTTTTCATGGGTCGCTGGACAGCAGGATATTTGAGGAAGAAGATTGTGCAAGAGCTAGAGCAAAGACAAAGCAATCATCAATTGAAACAGTAGAGAGAGAATCATCAAATTTGTAAAAATTCTAACAAAAATTTACAAAAATTCATTATCTTCTTCCTTTTTCTTTTTTTTTTCTCTCTCTATCTGGGTTCTCCGAGAACCGAAACTGGGGTTCTCGGAGAACTCCTAGAGAACCCAGGAGAAAAAAAAAATCTAGAGAACCCAGATCTAGATGTAGAGGTAGCTCATTTGTTCTTTATTCTTATTATAAGGATTTTGTGACAGTAACAATAAAAGGCTCAAATTTGGAATTGGAAAGAATCTTGACGATTTTCACAACCATTGATTTCTCAAGCAATCGATTCTATGGGGAAATTCTTGAAGAGTTAGGAGAACTCAATTCACTTAAATTGCTAAACTTGTGGGCCAAATACCTCAAGGGAAGCAGCTCAACACTATCTCAAATGATTCTTACATTGGGAACTCTGCGTTGTGAGGATTACCGTTGACAAAGAAATGCCACAACCAGGAAGAACTAGGAGCACCTCCATCAAAATTTGATGAAGAAGATGACTCTGCAGCACTCTTTAATTGGAAGTTTGCAGATGGAGAACTCAAAAAAGCAGAGTGGGGGAAAGGAGAGTAGAGAGAGGGAGAAAGGAGAGTAGAGAAAGCAAGAGGGTTGTGCTAGTAGTAACGGACAGAGACGGATTAAGTAACGGACAATAATGAGTGTGACGGAGTGTGTAACGTACATGGTAAATGTATCATTGTCCTTTTTAATATTCCTAGGGAGCTAGAATTTAGTTTCCAAGGCAGTGGTTCCTTTGTTCCACCCATGTTGATATCGGCCTTGTAGGTTCAAAAATATCTTATAAATGGTTGTCAAGGTTTCTTAGTTTCTGTCACTAATGCTAGTAGTGTGACGTTGAGACTAAAAGACATCCCTGTGGTGTGTGAGTTTCCGGATGTATTTCTGGAGGATCTCCGAGGTTTACCTCCAGATAGGGAGATTGAATTTGCTATTGATCTTGTTCTTGACACCAGACCTATTTCCAAAGCCCCATACCGTATGGCTTCTGCGGAGTTAAAGGACTTAAAGGTCCAGCTGGATGAACTCCTTGAGAAAGGGTTTATATGACCTGGTGGGTCACCTTGGGGAGCTCTAGTGTTGTTTGTTAAAAAGAAGGATAGGAGCATGAGATTGTGCATAAATTACTGAGAACTGAATAAGGTGACTATGAAGACCGATATCCACTTCCTAGAATTGATGACTTGTTTGATCAGCTTAAGGGTGTCCAAGTGTTTTCTAAGATTGATCTCCGGTCTGGCTACCATCAGTTAAAGATTAAACCTGATGATGTGCGGAAGACTGCCTTCCACACTCGCTATGGTCACTATGAATTTCTGGTTATGCCTTTTGGCTTAACAAATGCCCCTGCAAGATTTATGGATTTGATGAATCAGGTATTTAGCAAGTACCTAGATAAGTTTGTGGTTGTCTTTATTGATGACATTTTGATTTACTCTTCTAGCCATGCTCTTCATGAAAAGCACTTAAGGACAGTTCTCGAAACATTGAAAAGTTAGAGGTTGTTTGCTAAATTTAAGAAGTGTGAATTTTGGCTAGATAATGTTGCATTCCTAGGTCACGTTGTGACTAAGGATGGAATCTCCATCGACCCCCAGAAGATTGAGGCCATGGTGGATTGGAAAAGGCCGAATAGTGTTGCAGAAGTCTGTAGTTTTCTGGGATTGGCTGGTTATTACCATCGATTTGTGGGGGATTTCTCTAGAATTGCTCTACCAATGATCCGTCTGATCAGGAAAAACACCAAATTTGAGTGGACTCTATAGTGTGAGAAGAGCTTTTTGACCCTTAAAGAGAAACTGGTCATTGCTCTTGTACTTACACTTCCCATCAATGGGGAAGGATTCACTATAATAGTGATGCCTCTAAAAAGGGTTTGGGATGTGTCTTGATGTAGAAAGATAAGGTTATTGCATATGCTTCACAGCAGTTAAAGCCTTATGAAGAAAATTACCCTACCCATGATCTAGAGTTAGCAGCTGTGATATTTGCACTTAAGAACTGGAGGCATTATCTATACGATGAGACTTGTGAAATTTTCATCGATTACAAGAGTCTCAAGTATATTTTCACTCAAAAGGAGCTTAACATGAGGCAGAGGCGATGGCTTGAACTTTTGAAAGATTATGACTTAACCATTAGCTACCATCCAGGCAAAGCCAACAAAGTAGCAGATGCGTTGAGTAGGAAGTCCTCTAGCACTGCCTCTAGCATCCTTGCCACCCAGAAAGAGATTCTTGAGGACCTTGTGAAACTAGATGTGGAGTTGAGAGTGGACAGTACTACAGCTTATCTAGCTGCTCTCAATGCACAACCGGCATTAATTGATAGAATTAAAGTTGCCCAACAAAAAGATCCTTTCTTACAAAGGTTGAAGAAAAAAGTAAAGACGGAGGAAGCCCACATGCAAGAATTCAGAGTTTTTGACGATGAGACTTTGTGGTTTGGTGACAAGCTGTGTGTACCAAGAGATCATGCTTTAAGGCGTGAGATTATGGGAGATGCCCATAATACTAGTTACACAGTTCACCCAGGTAGTACCAAGATGTATCGTGACTTGCGTAGTACATTTTGGTGGCAGAATATGAAGAGGGAAATAGCTAGATTTGCCTCACAATGCTTGACTTGCTAGAAAGTCAAGGTTGAACACCAAAGACTTCTTGGGATGCTGCAGCCGTTACCTATTCCCCAATAAAAGTGGGAGAATATCACCATGAACTTTGTGACGGGTTTACCACGAACCTTAAAGGGAAATGATTCCATCTGGGTCATCGTTGATCAATTGACCAAGTCAGCACATTTCTTACCTTACCAGACTGGCACATCCATTGAGAAGCTTGCCAATATGTACATGAATGAGATAGTCAGGCTGCATGGAGTCCCTGTGTCTATTATGTCAGATAGAGATACAAGATTCTTATCTCATTTCTGGACAAGCTTGTAACAGGCACTTGGTACTCAATTAAATTTCAGCACGACCTTCCATCCTCAAACTGACGGGTAATCTGAGAGAACTATTCAGATACTTGAGGACATGTTGAGGGCTTGCATTCTAGATTGGAAGGGTTCATAGGATCAGCACTTATCCATATCTGAATTTGCCTATAATAATAGTTACTAGTCCAGCATCCGTATGGCACTATTTGAGGCTTTCTATGGTCGAAGGTGTAGATCACCTGTTTGCTGGGCAGAGGTAGGCAAGAGAAGCATTCTCGTCCTAGAATTGGTGCAATAGTCTTTTGAGATTGTGCAATTGATCAAGGAATGCCTTCATGCTGCATAGAGCAGGCAGAAAAGCTATGCGGATAGAAGCAGACGATACCTTGAGTTTGAAGTCGGTGACCATGTATTTTTGAAGGTGTCACCCACTTGAGGTGTCCTTAGTTTTGGCATCTGGAGAAAATTGAGTCTGAGGTATGTTGGACCATATCTTATCCTAGAAAGGGTTGGCAAGGTAGCTTACCGATTGGAGTTGCCTGGAAATTTAACGAGTGTTCATGATGTGCTCCGTGTGTCTTTACTTCGGAAATATATTCCTGACCCGAGCCATATCATTGATCCGGAACCCATTCAGCTTCAAGAAGATCTCACTTATGATGAGCACCCGATCCGTATTTTAGATTTCAAGGAGAGGGTAATGCAGAGAAGGACTATTCGTTTTGTTAAGGTCCTCTAGGATAACCATTCGGTTGAAGAAGCTACTTGGGAGTTGGAATCCAAGATGAGGCAGGAACATCCGCACCTCTTCCAAGATTGAGGTATGAGTTTAAGGGACTAAACTCCTTTTTAGAAGGGGTGGATGTAATACCCCAAAAATTTCTAAAACAATTAAGTGTGAGCTAGGGACCTAATTGTGAGAAAATAATATTATTGAGCCTAATCATAAAATTTTCAAATTTGAGGGACTTAAAAGAGAAAAAAATTAGGATAAGGATGACTGATTTTTTTCCTTCTTTCTTTCTTCCTCAGCCGCGCGATTCTGCTCTTCTTCTTCTCCCTTGCAGCCGAACAAAAGGCCAAGCCACCGACACACCCACCCTCTTGAGAAATGGTAAAAAAGCTTGATTTTTTTCCTTCTTTTCTTGTTCAAGAACAAGATTTAGAACCTTGAAATCACCCCCTTGTAGAAAAATTTCCAAATCTGCTCTGCTCTTTCCTCTCCGTCCGTTGCTCTATTGTGTGGGTGTGATTTTTTTTCAGGTTTTTGGTAAGGGAAATAGCCACTAATTCCTCTTTTCTCCTTGATTTGGCTTGGGTTTACTCTAATTTCTTTTGGTTCCTCCCAATTTTTGGTAGATCCCCTAAATTCTCCTTCCATTCCCGTCGGCTCCCTCAACCCGCCAGCTCCGGTTTGCTTGCTGGATTTTCTGGTATGTGACAGCTCCATCTAAATCCAAATTTACCCATTAATTGCTGAAATTATCCATTTATTTGCTGCCCCTATGCTGTCCAAATTTTGCTGAAATAAGGGATGAATTCCCGTATCAATTAGAACAAAATTAAGCTTAATTCATGTAGAATTTATGTGATTGGGTATTAATGAGCTACTGTGAGGTTCTGGAGAAAAATCCCGTGAAATTAGCTGTTGTTTGCCAAGGCCGGTTCCTCCATGTTGTCTGTGAAATTGGAGAATTGTGTATATGTGTGTTTATGCATATATATAAATGCCCAATCTGATTTTTGTGCTCAAATTTCGGATAGAAGAAAAATAAGAATAAATAAAGAAATAAAGAAATAAAGAAATAAGATTTCTTTATAGGATTAATGGCCGACAACAATAGGGAGGTTTAAATGTTTAGTTTATATTGAGAATAAAATTGAGATGTCCGGTCATATGGTTATTAATTCTGGAATATTTTGGTTAGGTTCTTGATTGTTCTGTCACCCAGCACTTGGAGTGAATTTTCTGTATTATGCGACTGAGATAAGTAAATTATGGTAACGCCCTTCGATTTCAAAGTAAAAGCATATTTTAAATTGTTTTTGAGATGGTGGCAAGGTTTAAATTGATTTTATTAGCACCGAGCATGATTGGTTTGAAATGGAATTATTATCATTTTCATTGAGTAGAGCATGCCTACTTGAAGTTTACTTAACTGCCTTGATGATCTGAAAATTTTGTAAATTATGATTTTCTTGTTAAATCCATGCCCACATGGAATTTTTTCAGTTTATTCTTGAAATTTGAAATTAATTGTGAATTACGGATTTTTCCTGTAATGGTTTTGTCTCTAATATAGTCATGATTACTGATTACTGACGCTTGCTAGTGAGAGTTTGCAAACACTAACACATGTCAACATGTATACCAATAGGACCGGTTCATTCTGTAATCCTACCAATGGGATAATACATTGGTTATTACTGAAACTTACGCCTGCCAGTGGGAGTTGTTAAACACTGGCCATGACTTATAGATGAGACTACTACTAAATCTTATTTTGCATTAACGGTTTATCATTGAACGCTTTGTTATTGACTTATAGATGGACTACTACTAAATCTTATTATGCATTAACGGTTTATCATTGAATGTTTTTTTATGTTAAATTGTTTATCAGGCAAGCTTAAATTTTAATGTTTATTAAGCAAGCTTAAATTTTACTCACGAGCTATCCATATTTTTATTTACTGAGATACCTTATCTCATAATTTTCCTTGTTCATCATTTCAGGAAGTGAGACCCGAGGCACGGTTAACCAAGCGGAGTGACGAGCTAGAAGGTTAGTCAGTATTTTGGACTTAGATCCTTTTGGACTTAGGCCATTAGCCACACATGCTTGACATAGATGTGAAATGATAAATCATTTTTTTGTATACTGAGTTTTCCTTGGTTATAGCCATGACTGTCTTATAAACTATTGTACATCTTGACTAGTAAAATTTTGGTAATGGAAAGCTAGATATTAACTGAGTTTTGATTTAAGTTATGTAAATTGGTAATTATGAAGACCGCAAGTTACGAGTCTTGAGCATTTGTGGGACTCGTTCATGAGTGCACGGCGTCTGTTTCACTTCTAGTTTTGGAGTGTGACACTCTCATGTGGAGAAAACTTCTTGAGAACATAGTAATAGAATGGGCAAAATAACATATAAATGAGAGAAATAATAAGACACTATGGATGGTGTAAGGACATCATTATATATCAAGACTTGCTTAATCCACATTATAAAATTCTTTGTGGATTTTATATGTTTATTACTTTTCATTTTTTTCTTACATATGAACTACCCTATTTATAAAATAAGAAAATACCTAATAAAAAGAAATATTCCATAAAAACATAAAAAATTATAATTAATTGAAAATCTCTTAATCATTACATTATCAATTTCAAATTTTGAAAGAGGGCAAGTATTCCTATTCTATGACAATGGATGTGGGGAAAGTGCTCACCTTGGGACTCAAACTTAGTTCCCAAGGGTAACCCACCCACTAGGGATATTTATATCCAATGCAATCAGATTAGTCTAAATAAAACTAACCCAATCCAATAAAAAATAAAATCAATCCAATATAAAATTTGGTTGGTTTAAATTATAAAATTTAAAACCGATGTAATTGGTTTGGTTTGTTATTTTACTATCAAATCGTTTGAATTGCCTGATTACAAAATAAAATTTGATTATAAGATAACTTAATTAAATAATATAATTATATTTTTTAATATTTTAAAAAAAATTCTTATTTTATAAGATAATAACTCTATTAACTTAATTAAAAAATAAAAATAGAACATTTTCATAATTCCTAATTTAATTTTCCATCTTAATTATACACTCTAACTCTAATTCAAAATTTCTAATTCACTTGTAATTCTATCCTTTAGAACTGATCTGCAATTCTACTCTTAGAACCTTAAATTTCTAATTTATTCCTAAATGATATTCTGAATTTTTTAGCTAAGTTTTAAAGAAGTATCATTTTAGAAATCTTAAAATTATATAGTAAAACTAGTCTTGCTATTTTACTATTTTTAAATGTTTGGTTGAGAAGTTTTAAATCTTAATTGTAAATGTTTTTAATCAATTCTAATGATATTCATGTTAAATTTTATTTGCTTTTATTAGGGTTTGGAAGATGGGACTGAACCATTTGGTGCATTAAGTAAAAAAAAAAAATAGTTTGAATCTTTAAAAATTACTTGCACCGTGTTTGAAACTTAGAGTCATTTTTTATTGTTCTCAGTGCGTCTAGCAATATAGTCAAGAAGAATTTTCAGGTCTTTTCAATCTTTATAATTGTAAAAGATTATAAGAACTTGTTTATAATTTATGCCTTTTATTATGTTTATATTGATTTGGATGTTAATATATTTTATAGTTTTATTTTCTACTTGATGTTAAAATTTTTTACATTATCTCATACATTTAATAATATTAAAAACTAAGATAAAAAAATAATATTAAAAACTGATTAATCTGACCAAGCCACATCAATTCAATTTAAGTTGGATTAATTCGATTATCATATATAGTGGATTGAATTGATTTAAAAAATATACTAATCAATTAAATTAAATTAATTTAAAAAATATTAAAATCTAAACTAAACCAGACCACGGATACCCTAACCACCCACTAAGGCATTTGGTCATTTCAAGTTGCTTTGACTGTGCGGGTTAATTAGTTAGCGAATTATTCCTTATGGTTGGTCAATCCTTTTAATAATGTGATTTTTCTTCATTTTATAATTAGATCAATTATTAGGTGGTTTGATTATTTTTTATTTATTTTAGAAAGATAATTGACTATTTTTTTATATATAAATATTTTTTATATAATTTTTTCTTTTAACCTTATACATCATTTAATTATTAATTATTTTCATTTTATTAGAATTTGTGATATTTTATATATCTACTCATTTAATAGTACACATAAATTATAAATAAAAATTGTATGAAAATGTTATCCACATATCAAATTTTTTATATAAAAATAACGTGATTACAATCTCAGATATAATTTTAAGTTTACAATCATGATGTTATATTAAATGTGTAGATATATATAATATCACATGTGATTCACTAAAATAAAAATAGTTATCACATAATAACACATAAAAATTATAAACTTATAATATTATATAGTATTGTAATTATATCATCTTTTTTATGTTAGCATCAAACCTCTATTGTATTAAACAACTCCCTTCCAGTGAGAAAAAAATGTTTATGAAAATTTACGAAACATAATACGGCTTGCAAGATTGGTTTAAGTTATTATCAACTGAAAGACTTGTATCAACCGTATATGCAAACTCACATGCGAGTGGATAAGTTGATAGGGAACTCTTTCGACTTCCCTATCAACTTAACTAGAGGTCTTAATTTTAAATCCTAAAAATGCAGTTCTGTTAAAACTTGTGAGAAAGGGCTTTACCTTTCATTGGGTCCTATCCTGTTCGAATCTGGATTAGTCGATGGTCTAGTGAGTTTTCGGATATCGAGTGGTCCAAACAAATATATATATATGCAGCCAAAAACCAAAAGGAAAATGATAATAAACACATAATTTTATGCAATTTTATATCTTATTTAATGAGTAATTTTTTTAAGTATATTAAAATTTATGATATTATGTATATTTATTTAATAATATATAAAATTATAATAAAATTTTATAAATAAATTGTTTTGATATCATTATCTAATGAAAAAAAAAAAATACTAAGAACAAGATTCCAACGTAAAACCCGAGTTGCTATCCGGGCAAAAGTTTCATTGATATTTTTTTTCAATGGAATTATATTTGTTTCCTTGACGACTTTGTCCCATTGTAATTTGTAACCCCACCGCGAGCTAAATGGTAAAGGATGACCTGTGTGAGCAAAAATGTGCTTTTTAATTTGCAAATGAAAAATAAGCCCTTCCCCAGCCCAGCCCAGCCCCCATCCTCCTTTCCATCCTATCTCCTACAAAGCTGGTACACATTATGTATCGGGAGAGTGGTCCTTAAATCCTTGTATGGGCATTCTTCAATTCCCTTCCTCCCTCCTAATTCTCCATGTCTCTTAATTAGGGGAAGAAAAGGCTATAGAGAGAAGAGAAATTGAGATCTGATTCAGTTGAATATTGAAATCAATGGTGAGTCCCGGTCATGCTCTTCCACAGCTTTCTTGAACTTCTGAATTCCTCTGCTTCTCTCTTGAAACATAAGCACTTGACCACGGAAGCTCAAGAAAGCTGTGGGAAAACATGACGTATTTCGGGATTTCTGCATCATCAGAATGTGGATCAATATGGTTCCGGGAACAGGGTCCTCCTTTCATCTCCTTTGAGCACGGTAATTCTAAGAATTCCCACAGAATTTACAATCTTCTTTTTCTTTTAATGATCTTGTCATGCATTATAAGCCACAATTCTTGGGGTTTTCTTTGAGAAAAAGGTTGAAGAGGTTGAATTCTTAACTAGGAAATTTCATAAAAAAATGGAGAACACAAAATGAATCATATACACTGCATGAGTGAGGATAGCTTAACAAGTAACATTTTTTTTTTTTTTCATTTTAATTTTGTGAAATGAGTAAGATTTCATTTTTTCTTTCGGCCATCCATTTCATTTCCTTTTCAATTACTTGATTTATCTTATTATCTTGTGAATGACTCCATCTGAGTGGGGGGCGCAAACAGAGAAGATTCCCCTGCCCCTTTTAATGATGATGGTTCTCTCTGTTGGCCCTTTCTGGTTTTCCCCTCTCCTACATTTCTGTGGAAGAAAGGCTAAAGTTTTGTCGCTTTCTGAGTGTCGGAGAAATTATTCGGAAAATAAAGACTACTGTAAATGAAAAATGTAAACAAACTAATTGGTTGAGACATGCAGTAACAGTTAAAAGGAACACTACGTAGGAATGTGACTGGGCCGGGTAAGCGTCCGGGGATATATTTCTCTTTTTCAGTTTCCATATCCTTCTAGTAACAGCCTCCAGTTAATTTAACTGATAAAGAATTTGATGTATAAATAAAAAATTTTAAATTAGAACACTGAATTTAGGTAGAGAGCAGAGTGGAATTTGAAAAACAGAAAAGATTATTTTTTTATATAATTTATGATTAAATGTATAAAAAAATATCTTTCTTATAACTTTTATGTTTATCCAGTCTATTACTCTTCAGCTAAAAATATAGGTTACCCTTACTCTTACTTTATTGTTAACGAGTTACAGGATAATCAGTTTATTTTTTACGCATGACATTTTAGTTATTTTTTAACTTAAATTTAATTTGTAAAATAATTTTTTTTTAATTTTAAAGTAATTATAAAATAATTTAATTATATAAAATTTAATAAAATTAAATAAAAACATGGCATGAAAATTCAAATAGTATGAAACCAAAATTTATAGAATAAAGCACTGTTTTGAAACTCAGTCCGAACTGATTGGTTCAACCAAAATTAGTTTTAATTTGGGTAATGATATTAACTTAGTAGAAGTAAAATTTGCTCCAACTTGATACAACCCAGTTGACTTGACCAAATTCATTTTTTTTAACATTTTTACTTTTTTATTTTCAGTAATTGTTTATATTTACTTATTTTATAAATAATATAATAATTAAATTATAAAATCTATTTAAAATTGAATTACTGGTAATGAATTAAATTTTTTAAATTAATTTAAATGTAATTTGAGGGTTTTTTTAAAAAAAATTAACTTGAAATTAAATTACAATTTCACATTAGAACGTGAAACTAATTTAAAATCAAAATCAATTTGATTTAGGAAATAAAATAAAACTACTTTAATGAATGAAAAGAATAAAATCAATTTAAAATTAAAATTAATCTCAAACAATTTTGGAAATAAATCCATAAAAGAGAAAAATAATTTTATAATTAATATGATATCAATTTTTTAAATGGCTAGTGAAAAAATATATATTATGAATCTTAACAAATTTAATAAATAAAATTAATTTAAAAGTAATAGATTTTAAAAATAAAATCAATTAAAATAAAAATAATTATAATTAAGAAAATAAATTCAACAAATATTTATTAAATTTGGGTTGACTAGTTGAACTAGTCCAATTGATTGAACCAAACCCAGTGACCTAAGTGTGTTGATCATCTAGTTGAATTTTAAAACATTAGTGTAAAGACATCAAATAAAATATTCAACTCAAGAAGATAATATTTCCTCTAAAGAAAAGTCTAACTCAAATTATTATTTTTTTCATTACTTTTGATCTTCAAACTCTTATTTCATACTCAAATTTGATCCATCTATTAATGGATATATATCCTATGTTGCATGTTAACTTCAGAGGAATTTGGACTTTCCTCCTTCCAATAATTACGTGGATATTTCAAATGGACAAGATGATGTGGAAAAATCTTACTTAAAAGTTAAGTTAATTAAATGTAATAACGCCTTAAGTAATTTCGAGGGTTAGATCTATTGGCAAACAAATATTGTTTTATAAGCTAGATTTAGTGTTCAAGTTTTAAGGCATGCCTAAGGAAATTAAATTTTAAATGCACTAAATCAATGTGAAAGGTGTACTTTTAAAATTTTTGGAGAAATATTAGTTTCGAGGTGTGTAAAATTTGGCCTCGGGATACATTAACTATCCAAACCATAATAGATAAAAGAGAGTCTCTAAGTGACATCCAAGTGATTAAGATTTTGAGGTTTGAAGTTTTAGGGTGCGTTTGGAATTGCTGTGAAATGTTGTGATTGTAGCTGTGGCTATGCTTAGCTGTGGTTGTACTATGCTGTAGCTGTAGTTGTAGCTGTAGCTAAAAGTTATTTTGGTGTTTAGTTATTTATTTTTTAAAATTATTATAGATGAAATATGATAGATTTTATTAATTATTAATTAAAATTTTAAAAATATTATAAGATATATATAATTATTAAAATATATAATATTTATTATTTTTTAATAATGTAGGTTTTTAAAATTTTTTTAATTATTAAAATATTATAAATTATGATGTAATTAAATTATATGAAATTAAGTTTTAATAGTTAAATTTGTAATTATATTAAATATTAAGTATTTTTCGTAAAGTCACAACTAGAAAATTCCAAAAGGACGCTCTTAGTTTTATACATAAAATTACTGTAGACATGCTGTAGCTTACTGCAGACATGCTGTAGCTTTCTGTAGCTTTTAAAAAAAGCA